TGATTTGGTTGTGCCGGGTCTTAGTTACAGCAGGTGGGCTCCTTAGTTGTGGCATGCGACCTTTTAGTTGTGGCATGCATGTGGGATCTAGCTCCCTGAGCAGGGATCAAACCTGGGTGCCCCGTACTGGGACTGCAGAGTCTTAACCACTGTGCCACCAGGGAAGTCCCGAATGGTATTTATTCTTTCTAAAGACAGAAAGATTCCTTTTGCAGAGAAGTCATGACCTAGATAATGAACCATCTCTTGTGGTAACTGAAGCTTATCTTGAGGCCTTACAGCCTTTATAAGCCAATCGTTGTAACAGATATGTTGAATCGATACCTACATATTAAATCATCTACATATTAAATCAAGGTAGAATTTCTGAGAAATTGCAGCAGAGTGTTTAAACCCTCATGTTAAATTTGTGAAAAGTGTGGGGGAGCCTCAGTAAATCCCTGATGCATTACTGTCCAATACAACTTGATTTCTCCAAGTAAAAGCAAATAAATATTGACTTACTTTGTCCACAGGGATGCTGAAGAAAGCAGAGCATAAGATCACAACTGTAAAGCATTTGGATTCAGTTGGTATATTTGCCAACAAAGTACTTGGCTTTGGTACCCCTGGGAATGTCAGTATCACAGACTTATGGCTCTAAGGTCTTATACAAATCTCCATCCCCATCTACAGGGCTTCTTTAAAGGCAAGATAGGAGCACTGAAAGAATTGATACAGGGGATAATTACCCTCTGACTTAATAAATCTTCTATTATAGGGGTGACCCCTTATAGGGCTTCAGGCTTTAAGGGGTACTGAGGTGAGTTAGGAAGCAATTTAGAAGGATCATTCTGAATTTTAATACTTTTTATCCCTGATAAAAAGTATCAGGGATTTCAGAGAGATCTATAACATCTATACTTTTATGGAATTTAGTAGTCTCCTCTGGACAATCAATTTGGGCTTGGAGAACACATAATGCTTCAGTGTCTGATGAGTCTGGAAAGTCTAAGGTTATTTCTCCTGAGGAAAATTTTATTTGGCCTTGTAATTTAGAAAGCAGATCTTTTTCTCCCCCCAAAACAACCAACTTTTTATTGAAGTATAATTGACTTACAATGTTGTGTTAGTTTCATGTGTACAGCAAAGTTATATATGTATAACTTTTTCAGATTCTTTTCCATTATAGGTTATTTATTACAAGATATTGAATGCAGTTCCCTGTGCCATATAGTAGGTGCTTGTTGTTTATCTATTTATATATAGTAGTGTGTGTCTATTAATTTATTCCTCCCCTCTCCCTTCCCCCTTTGGTAACCATAAGTTTGTTTTCTGTCTGTGAGTCTATTTCTGTTTTGTAAATAAGTTCATTTGTATCATTTTTATAAAAATTATTTATTTATTTATTTGGTTGCACCAGGTCTTAGTTGCAGCTCACAGGCGCCTTAGTTGCAGCACAAGGGCTCTTAGTTGTGGCACACATGTGGGATCTAGTTCCCTGACCAGGGATCGAACCCAGGCCCCCTGCATTGGGAGCACAGAGTCTTATCCACTGCGCCACCAGGGAAGTCCCTGTATCATTTTTTAAGATTCTGCATATAAGTGATATCATACTATATTTGTCTTTGTCTGACTTACTTCACTTAGTATGATAATCTCTAGGTCCATCCATGTCGCTGCAAATGGCATAATTTCATTCTTTGTTATGGCTGAGTAATATTCCATTGGTGTGTGTGTGTGTGTGTGTGTGTGTGTGTGTGTGTGTGTGTATGTGTATACATACCACATCTTCTTTATCCATTCATCTGTTGATGACATTTAGGTTGCTTCCATTTTCTCGGCTATTATAAATAGTAAATAGCTATAGAAAGCAGGTCTTTACCTAGGAAATTCACAGGGGTAGTAATGCATAATAGAAAAGTATGACTTTCAGAGAAAGAGCCAACAGTTATGGGTTCCAATAAAGGAACTCTTTGAACTTGACTGGAAACTCCCACTACTAAGATATTTTTATTACTCTGAGGAGGTTCTTCATGTATCACGGTGGTTTTAAAGTAAATAGAGTTGGGGGGATGGGGGGAAGGGAGTTCCCTGGTGGTTAGGATTCGGGGCCTTCGCTGCCATGGCTCAGGTTCAACCCCTGGTGAGGAACTGAGATCCCACCAGCCTCATGGCACAGCCACAAAAAAAAAAAAAGAAAGAAAAAGTAGAGTTGCTCTGGTATCTATCAACATGGTGGAAATTTCTCCATTTAAGTTTAGTTTAATTTTCATTCTTGAGTTAAAGGAATTATTGAAAGTAGCTTACTGGGCAATTTCTTGGAGCCTTATCATTGTTGACAGTCATCACAAGAATCTGGGAGTTGAGAGCTCTCTCTTATAGGGCAACTGGATTGCTAAAAGTGGCATGTTTTTGGACTTCCCTGGCAGTCCAGTGGTTAACACTCTGCACTTCCAATGCAAGGGGCGCAGGTTCGATCCCTGGTAGGGGAACTAGGATTCCATACGCTGTGTGGTGCAGCCAAAAAAGAAAAAAAAAAGTGGGCTGGGCTTCCCTGGTGGTGCAGTGGTTGAGAGTCCGCCTGCCGATGCAGGGGACACGGGTTCGTGCCCCGGTCCAGGAAGATCCCACATGCCGCGGGGCAGCTAGGCCTGTGAGCCATGGCTGCTGAGCCTGCGCGTCCGGAGCCTGTGCTCTGAAACAGGAGAGGCCACAACAGTGAGAGGCCCGCGTACCAAAAAAAAAAAAAAAAAAAAAAAACTGCTCAGAGCTGGTAAACTAATGTTGTCATTAATAGACATTTTAAAGTTTCCATTAAGAACTGCCTGCACTAGATTCCTCCACCCTGAGCTATTTAAAGCGACAATTAATCTTTAATCTCGAGGGGTATGAATGATGTCCATTTAAAAATAGGCTATGGATTGTGATTGTATAGTTTTGTCTGCTAATCTGATAATACCGCCCCCACAGGCCTCTCTGGTGGTGCAATGGTTGAGAATCCACCTACCAGTGCAGGGGACACGGGTTCGAGCCCTGGTCCGCGAAGATCCCACATGCCATGGAGCAGCCATGGAGCAACTAAGCCCATGTGTCACAACTACTGAGCCTGCGCTCTAAAGCCCACGAGCCACAACTACTGAAGCCCGCACACCTAGAGCCCATGCTCCGCAACAAAAGAAGCCACCGCAGTGAGAAGTCCGTACACCCCAACGAAGAGTAGCTCCCGCTCGACGCAACTAGAGAAAGCCCATGCACAGCAACGAGGACGCAACACAGCCAGAAACAATAAATAAATAAAATAAAATAATAAAATAAATTTATTTTTTAAAAAAGATAATACCGCCCCCAACCCAAAGCTACAGAGATTTCATACATCAAAAGAAATCAAAGAAATTAAATGACACAACCACCTTGGTTCCCTAGCCTACTCATATACTGTCGCCCTACATGTAAAAAGAGGAAACTGTGCGCCTCTCTTAAGCACAAATAACCCACCCACCTTTTTTACTTACAGGAAACGGGGTTCTGCTCTGCGACCTCTTCCTGGATCTCTCCCTCCAAGTGCTGTGTTCTTTCGGGTACACTACAGGGTCAAATTCCTAGTACTGTCTCCCCGCGTGGGTACACTACAGGGTCAAAGCCCTAGTACTGTCACCCCGCGTGTTCGAGAAGGCCCTTCTGTAATACGACCTTCTCCGAGAGCGGCACTTCTTGCGGGGTCGCGACCCGCTCCGCGAAGAAGACTGCGAGTGGCGCCCGTACTTTCTCTGGTGGCGCCTTCCGGACCGAGACCGTGACCTGCTCCTTCTCCCGTGCGGGCTCTGACTCCTGGACCACGACCGACTCCAGCGAGACGCTGGAACAGGAACGAGAGCGTCTGGAAGAGCGGGCGAGCCCGGCCACAAGTTCCTTCACGTAGCTAAGACATCGTTGATGCCGGCTCTGAAAAGGGTCACTTCCCCAAAACCCAGAGTATCTCCTAAACCTAATCCTATCTCCCGACGATTTTCCCCGGGAGGGGATGTCCGGTAATCTGGATACATTTTTGGTTGTCACAACTGGCGGAAAGAAGGGGATGCAGATAAACACCCTACAGCGCACAGGACTGCTCCCCCCCCAAAAAAACAGAATTATCTGGCCCAAAATGTCAGTAGTGCTTAGGCTGAGAAACCCTACCTTAATGCAAACGGGAAAAAAAGGTCAAGTCTCAGAAGAGGGTCACCGCGCCGGGACCCTCTGGGTCGCCCATGTAGCCCGCTTCCAGAACCGGGAGGTCCCCGCCTCCCGGGAATGACCCCGCCACTCACGCAGGCGAAGCTACGGCGAGGACGGGGCCAGGCTCTGAGAAAATAAACGGGACTTTAAAACCTCTATTAGTGCTGTGGGGCCGGCCGCGAATCCGGACCTACCTTTTGCACCACACAGGACCCATGCCTGAGATAACTGTGTGAGCGACCCCAGCAATAGAAACTTTACCACCTCACCGAAGACGGATACAGAGCCCCAACAAACGCCTTCTTTCGAAAGCTTAGGAGAAAGCAACTTCCCACACCTACCCTGCAATGCCGGACCCATGTATCACTTCCGACGTACACATGTGAACTGAGCGCTGCGGAAAGTCCCCACAGCTGGCGCCCGGAGCATGCGCAGAGACGTCGGCGTGGTGGGCGTGGCTCTCTCTGGCCCTCCCTCAGCGAGTCCTACTCTCCCCGCACCGCTCCCTCCGCCCCTTCTCCGCATGCGCAACCGAGCTCCTCGGGCGGTGCTGCTCAATCCGGGTATCCGGCGGCCTGTGGCTGTTTTGTTTTCTTGGCTGGAACTGGGAAAGTGAGGCGGCCCGGCGCGGCGCGGCGCGACACCGGGCTCTGGACCGACTGCACGCGCGGGGCTGGACGTAAGTGCCAGGCAGGAGTGGGGGAAGGGGAGGAACTGCCGCAGGCCGGATGAGGCCGGGACCTGGGAGTGTCTGCCCGGCTGATGCTGCCTGAGTCATTGGGTCCACCCTCTGGGAAGCTGCAGGCTCAGGCTGTGTCTTGCTGGACACTTCCTGGCCACTTCCTGCTGACTCGTGTCCGGCCGGCGGCGGGAGAGGACGACCGCCTCAGCAGTCCGGACAGCGCCCTCCCCGACACGTCACAGGATCCCTGAAACTCAGCATGCCTCCCTACTTTAGAGCTGCAGAAACTGACACCCCGGAAGGAGTGTAAGCCGGCTGGTTCCCTGGGCGAGGGAGATGGCCGAGCCACAAGAGCTAGAACTAGTTTCCACATCTTCCCAGTCGCAGGCCACTCTCTACACCTCAGATTCCCAGAATCTGGAGGGCGGAGTTTGGGCACGAGTTGTGCGGGTAATAAACCAAAGAAAAACAGATTCGGGGCGGCGTCATTGGGGTGAACCGAAAACAACATACTGGCTTGCCGTTCCTCCCAGGGAAGAATAAAACGAGTGAATTTTCAAAATTGGACTTGTCCTAAAGGCATATTAGCACTGGGTATAATCACGGTTTTAAATTTAATTTTTATAAGGGAGTTTCCAACTGGATTCATTGCTCTTTTTTAGGATATGTTTTTGAACAACCATGGTTGCTGGCTACAGAGTAGCTTCATGGACAGGTTAAGATTCACTGTAGGAGTTTGGATGTTTGCTTGATTATTAACAATTTACACTTAATGCAGGCTTTTTCATATTCTGAAATAGAGATCCTATGGATGTGTATCAGACCAGGTTTGTATGGCCCAGCTCTAAGGAATGTTTTATGTAAGTGTCGTCTATGGTAACTTATCCATGGTAATATAGCAGTGCGTTTTCTTTCTTTCTTTCCTTTCTTCCTTCCTTCTTTCTTTAATTTCTTCCTTCCTTTTTTTTTTTCTTCTTTCTTTTTTTATGGTCTGAATTAATATTGACTTCAATTTTGTGCTTCCTCTTGGCTGGAAAACATGTTAGTGTCAGAGATAGAGCTTACTAAAATGAAGTGGATGTTCTTTACATAGAAATGACGCCAACAGACAGACATGGAGAAGGAAAAAACAATGAAGTGAAGGGACGTGAGGCGGGTGCAGTGTTTAATTTCTTAATCTGAGTGTGAAGAAACATGTTCTATGACAAAATGTGTAAATTGTTAAGAGAAATATTTTTCATCTGAGTCCATGCTTTAACTCAGAACCAAAGTTTTATCACTTGTCTCTGCTATGCTAGTGCTGCTGGACTGTAAATATCTAAGTCACATAATAACTTAGTTTGGAATTAAAATTAATAATCAGTGTAAAATTTTTTCAATATTGGGATGCCCGCTTTTGTTTACATTGCTTAAAATATACCAAAACCATCTTTTAAATTAAAAAAAAAGAAACTTAAATGAGTCCACATTTTGTTTTCCAGAGTTATGTGGAAATTCATCAAAAGCTAAATTAAATATTCTGAAGTATATGTAGCCAGATAAAGTATTTGTAACTTCACTTTTATTAAATTATTCCTAAACTGTTAATTATTTTCTAGAAACATAAGTCAGCTTAGAAGCAAGTCAATAGAAGTACTTTAGTTGGTTTTGTTTGTTTGTTTGTTTTTTCAAGTGACCTGAAAAAAATGTCTGGATTTCTAGAAGGCTTGAGATGCTCAGAATGCATTGATTGGGGGGAAAAGCGCAATACTATTGCTTCCATTGCTGCTGGTATCCTAGTAAGTGTCCTTGATAATTTGGGCCTTCATTATTTTGGTGTGTTTGTTTTTATGTATTTAAAGCTCTGTGTGATGTCTTTAAGTAAGTGCTATTTATTTTATCTTTGCTACTGAATTTTTTAAAATGTTGATATTTTGTTTTATTTATGAGAGGGTTTAGTTATTCCATCTAGAGTTGATATTATGGCTTGAAATTTGATTAGATTATTTTACTTTAACTGCATGAAAAAATTGTATAGTAAGACAGTATATTTTATACACTTACTCAGCATGGATTATGCTTCCTCTTAATGAGTACATTAAGTTACTAAGAAGTGTTTAAGAAACAATCAGGTCAAAACCATTCAAGAGATATGATTGCATTTCTCCATGATCAGCGTTAACTTTCTTCTCAATCTCATTAGAAAATAGAAGGAAAGAACTCATAAAAATATATTGCTTAGAAGTAATTTAGAGTATAAAATTCTTATTTACATTACAGATCCTTCAAGGTATCTGATATTTGTTTTGTCCTCTAATGTTGTCATATGCTCTAAACAGTGAATTTTAAACAAACAAAACTCTAAATATGTCCTCTTTGCCTAGTCTCTGACAGTTATAATCTATGAAAAATAATTATCCTTTATTTTTCCAAAGTAATGTCAAAATATAAAACTACTATAGAAATTCTGCTCTTAACAAAAAAAGCTTTGAATTTTAATCTATGAAGAAAATATCTTGAATACATTGAGCTAAGGGTGAAAAAAAACAGTGAAAGAGTACTTGCACTAGCTAGTAAAAAAGTCATTAATGGAGTATGGATCTGTCTGTAACCTGATAAAAATAATTTGATTAGCCTAAAATAGTTATTTTAAAATGATTCCCTGAAGATGGCAATTCTGAGAGCGAACTAGGTCAGGATTGCAAGTGGGGATAGAGAAGGGGGTTACTTTCCAAACCTTCTAAGCTACTTGTCAGTATTTGCTTAATATCATCTTATTGTAAGTTTCTGCTCAGGTGATTAAAAAATATTTGTGCAGTTTTAATGTTTTTTCATTATATGTTTGCCCTTGATAGTGTCCAGAACCAAATGCAATTAAAATAAATTATAATTTGGTATTTAAGTTGAATTTAGCATAATCTCTGAAACCATCTGTAGACTGCACTATAGTTCATCAAAAGGGAAAGCAGTACTGCATAGCCATTGTTTATTTCACAACACCAAGAGGCTAGCTAAAATTCTATCAACGATAATTATTCCCTATATTATTTTGAATACTTTTTTTTCATTTTCAATAATATCTTCCTGGAGGCTTATAATATATCGGCAACAGGCCACTCCTCCTGTCAGCTGGAGTCTGAATCACTTTTTTCCTTTCTCCTGCCATGAAATATTGTAACTTCTAGTTCACAAAATTAGATTACAGACTTTAATATGACAACATAAAATAATGACTAAAGTAGACTTAGAAAAGAAGTGTTAATAAATAATAATTGCTGTGGGACTTTAGGGTATCTAATCTTTCATCAGATATTAAGCCATATACTAATTATATGCAAGAAACTGCTGGAACATTTAAGAAAATTTTGGACTTTATTAGAAAGGATCTGTTCACTTAGATTCTTTGCTTGATTTCTTGCTTTTTTTGCTGGAAAGCAAGATTCCTTGCTTTTTATCCAGTAAGATATGAAATAACTTTAATTTCTTCTTTTTGTGGTTTGTTTGTTTTAGTTTTTTACAGGCTGGTGGATTATCATAGATGCAGCTGTCATTTATCCCAGTGTGGAAGAGTTCAACCACTCCTACCATGCCTGTGGTGTTATAGCAACCATAGCCTTCCTAATGTAAGTGTCATTGTTAGTGACATGACTTACAGATTGTCACAAAAGAAAAATGTTTTACATACAGTTGAGTAGAGTTAAATCTTTTAAGTGCTAACCAAATTAACATATGGGACATGGTTTAAAAGTCAAATCATAGGGCTTCCCTGGTGGCGCAGTGGTTGAGAGTCCGCCTGCTGATGCAAGGGACACGGGTTCGTGCCTCGGTCCGGGAAGATCCCACATGCCGTGGAGTGGCTGGGCCCGTGAGCCATGGCCGCTGAGCCTGCGTGTCCGGAGCCTGTGCTCCGCAACGGGAGAGGCCACAACAGTGAGAGGCCCACGTACCGCAACAACAACAACAACAAAAGGCAAATCATAGAGAAGGACTGTTGAAGAAAAGCAGGAGGCTTCTTTTCTTCCTTCCACCTCTCCTCTCCCACTTCTGTCCCCCAGCTTCTCTCAGCTATCCTTTTATTTCTAGGCTGTCAGTGTTTATAACTTTATTTTCACGTCAGAAACCATATACTTTGTCTAAGAGTTTGTTTATTCATTCATCCAACAAATATTTATTAAGCTTTTATATTCCCAGGCTCTGCTCTAGGTACAGTAAATACAGTATATAAAACAGGAAAATCCATGCCTTTATGGAATTTATACCTTAATGAGTGAGGCAGATTGTAACTAAAGAGAAATAAATTAAATATATAGCATGTAAGATAATGATAAGTGCTAGAGAGAAAAAGCAGAGGTGGGGATATGAGATGTCAGCAGAGGGTGCAGAAATTTTAAATAGAGTCAAGGAAGGCCTTATTGGAAGGTGATTTTTAAGTACAGATTTGAAGAAGTGAAGGACCTGATCATGGAGATACGTAGGAGAGGATCATTCCAGACAGATGGAAGAGCAAGCACAAAGGCTGTATGGCAAGGGGACCAGCATGGCTGGAGTAAAGGGTCAAGGTCATAAAAGCCAGAGAAGACTGCAGAACTGTCCAGACTGAGGAGACTAAAGAGACAGGAGAACAAAATGTCCCTCATGGTTCTGGACCGGATCCTTTTACTATTTAGAGCATTATTGGGACAACCGGGGAACTTGGATGAGGTGTGATGGTTAGCTAATGGGAATGGATCATTGTTAATTTCCCGATCTTGATGGTTGTATTGTTCGGTAGAACTGTCTCATTTATAGGAAATACATACAAATTTCTGGGGTTATGGGTCATCGTGTTGGCAAGTTTCAAATGTTTCAGGAAAACAGATTTATTTGAACTATACTTGGGACTTTTCTATAAGTTTGAGATATGTATAAAACCGGTAATACCAGAGAACAAAAAGAGGTTGTTCATTCGAGGATGTGCCTAGTGGTGAAGACTGACGAGGCAGGGTCATGACTGTCCCACAGAGAGCTGTGAAGTGTATTCAGGTGGCCCAGCAAGGAAAAAGCAGAGCCAATAGCCACTAGCCCAAGAACATCTGCATTGTTTAAAAATATGAAACTTGTTTTAAAATGTATTTGTTTTATGTACCAAATAACTTACAAGAGATCACTGAAAATAATTAAGAGTATTTTGATCATTCTTTTTAAAACTTAGATTTGAATGAATAAATTAAGACTTTATGTTGTTGTGAAAAAATTAGGGTTCATGTATTCAGCACCTACTATGTGCCGATCCCTGTGCTAGGCACTGAGACCAAAAGTGAGAAATAAGATAGACACAGCCCCTGTGTCTTTCTAGCAGTAGACACTCACACATACACAGTTAAATGGAGATATACACACACATACACACATATATAGTTTTCTAACTTCTTAACTTGATGTCTTGTGAACAGTTTCCCATGATATTTTAAAATTTTCAGAGGATACTTCTAAAGAAAGCAAGGCTATCTCAATTTAGTATTCTGTGAAAGTCAGCAAAAGACTTCTTATGTCTGGAACGTGTAACAGGGATTGAGAAAACAAGATTTTACCACTTGCACCTCTTCATGTTGAGTATGTCTGATGTGTACAAATGGAAAACTTGATAGGACCAAGCTAAAGATCCTTCCAATCTTAGCAAGATATAATTTTGAGAATTTCACTCTCAAATTTTAACAAGCATCAGAATCACCTGAAGGATTTGTTAAAATTCAGATTGCTGGGGCCCATACCCAGAGTTTCTGCTTCAGTAAATTTGGGGTGGAGCCGAGGAATTTTCTTTCTAAAGAATTCCCAGGTGATGCTGATTCTGCTGGTCTGGGGACTATGGCCACTGCTTTACAGGATACCTGGTAGAGGGGATTTGCCTAAGGTGTATAAACCCATGACTCAAGACTTATAAGACTTACCTTAAATTTGCAGAAGTCTAGCTTATTGTGCCTGGTAATTTGATGTCATGGATAATTTCTGGTTAAGATCTCTTGGTTTTATTGTATTCACACAGGATTAATGCAGTATCGAATGGACAAGTGCGAGGTGATAGCTACAGTGAAGGTTGCCTGGGTCAAACAGGTAAATAGGTGCAAACAACATCTTACTATACACCCTGAAAATGAGAATTATGCATGGAAGGGCCACTTGTCTGCCTCCTTCAGATCAGAGATAGGTTATAGGTTCCAAGGAGAGGTCATAGGTTCCAAGGCCTAAGGTAAAAGTCGCATTTGATCACAGATTGCCGAATAGTGTTTTTAAATATATGCACAGTTTTGAATATATAACCCTGTGCAATAATATGTGGATATAAACGTATACAGAGTACAGTAAAGAACAGTGTATAATAAAGAATACATGTGCAAAATAGAATTTCTGCTACTTGAGGCTGTACCGGGACTTCCCTGATGGTCCAGTGGTTAAGACTTGGCGCTCCCAATGCAGGGGGCCTGGGTTGGATCCCTGGTCAGGGAACTAGAGCCCACATGCCGCAACTAGAGATCCCGCACGTTGCAACAAAGATCCCACACACAGCAATGCAGATTCCGCGTGCCGCAACTAAGACCCAGCGCAGCCAAATTAATTAATTTTTTTTTTTTTAAGAAGCTATACCATATAAATTATTTTCTTCCCTTTTTTGCCAACCTTACTTGATTGAATTAGCATTTTGAAATAGCTTAGAGTCATAGTTTTTTGGTGTGTTTTAAAATACACAACATAAAATTTACCATCTTAACTATTTTTAAGTATACAGTTCAGTAGTAGGTGCATTCATTTTTGTTGTGCAACTCTTTCAATCTTGCAAAACTGAATAGAATAATAGAATTTTAGTGCTTAGATTCACCCAGGCCTGCCCTGCTCAACTAAGGAATTCATATCCCCTGAACCCCAAGGTAGGCAGAATACAGGATACGTGTAGCACAGCTTCCTATAGGGTGCAATTTAGTCAGAGATTTGAGGGGACAGATATTTATTGAGCAGTTTAAATGGTAAAATATTATATCCATACAAAAATAAACCTGGATATAGGCAAATTTCAGGTGACTTTTTTTTCTTTCCCTAATGAAACAGGAGAAACTGCAGTAGTCAGCTCTGGTCTATGCTTTCAGACTCTCCTTTGGTTCACTCTCTTTGTAGATCAACTTAAGTAGAAAAAATACAGAAATACCAGCGTACCACAACCTTGTAAACTCTAAACAAAGAGATGGACGTTAGCAGTTAGTGTTGGTAATAATAAGCCAATAATAGCTTGAGCTAAGACTAGATAGAGTATGGCAATCACATCCATAAATAAAATTTGTTAGCTAGCACAGCTTTGGGGGGTCCAGAGCTAGTTGTATTTGTTTTAATATCTCATCTATGAGTAACAGCTTATTATTTCAGAACTATTTTATGTTTTGGGTATGAAATCAGAAATTTATAACATTCTATTTGCTGTGCTTTATTGAGCAGGGCAGTGTTTTTATTAAAATGTATTTGTGCTAATTAAACAAACTCATCTCAGAATTCATTTTAGGCCATCTAATGACTCCATTTATTTCATATCAAATCTTCAGAAATATTGTATAATGTGATTTATAAGTTGGTTGTCTTTCTCTGTTAACATGATTTTAATGCAGCTTAGTCCTAAGTGCCAGCCACACTAAATTTGAATTTGCTTTGCTGCCTGACTTGCCTAAAAGGGAAATACGGTAGTGTTTAGGTTCACATATCACTGAATATGAATTTTTTGTTAAGTATACCTATGTTATTGTTTGAAAGTTCTCTTAGAGGGCTTTAAACTTTGGAGCACAATTTCTAAAAATACTTGGAGAATGAGCTGCTAAATATGGTGAAACATATTTCATGAGATTTATATAGGGAGGGAGAGTAAAGTTTTTCTCAGTGTCATAGTTGGGGAAAGTAAGCACAGGCACTTAGAATATACAGACCAACCAACCAACAGGAAAAGAGCCAACGTCCACACTGATGATACTCAGCACATTTTTCACTGTTCTTGCTTTAGACTTTAATGGCAACTACACATTTTTTTTCTCTTTGGGTTTTTGTCTTCTCTTTGAAAAGTTAATTGAACTGACTGCTGCCATTTGAGAAACAATTCTGGTAAAATATTATTTTCCTTAAGGTGCTCGCATTTGGCTGTTCATTGGTTTCATGTTGGCCTTTGGCTCTCTGATCGCATCTATGTGGATCCTTTTTGGAGGGTATGTTGCTAAAGGTAAGAGAAAACGCAGTTTTTATTTTACTTCAATGGAATACTGAAATTTTGTGTTAAAGTTGGTTTTTTTTAGAATAAAGCTTTTTTCATACTAACAAGGCATTTGTGCCTGGGAACTTTCCTCCCCCTATCTGTATTTGTTTTGTTTGTTTGCTATGTTTTTAGTGTGCCTTTCTTCTGTATTTTCTAATCTAGAGCCTGGAAGGAATGGGACATAGCTCTATACCTTGTTTCTCTTTGGCTTCCAGAAACCTCAAAAGCAGAACACATATGTTGTCCAGCTATTGGGCAAGTTTTGACTTGCTGAGTAATATCCAGGCAAAGCTCTAACATCCTAGAATTGAAATTTATTGAGCTAAAGCTCCCTGATAATATGATAGTATCTTCTTTTAGACAGAAAAGCAAATTAACATTTAAGGCGTATCTGCTATATAAGGCCAGTTTAAGGCAAGCTAGGAAAAGACCTGCTTTTGGGTCCCTGGCTGAAATTTTGCCTTGAGGGACCCCAGAAAAACATGAAATCCATTTAATGTTCTGGGTAAAATTGACGATGCTTATCATAGTAAAAATATAATATTAATGATTTGCCAAACTAGACCAGCAGAGATCTAAGCTAGCTCATATTTTAACATTTTATTTCTTTGAATAAAATGTAATTCTTGGATTGAAATCATTTGTTTCCTGATTTTTTATTAAAATTGTTTTAATCTTACAGATAGGAATGATAGGCAATTTTAAATATTTATATTTTTTTCTTTTATTTATATAATTTATTATAAAACCATGTTACTAAAAATGTAGAAAAGAAAGAAAAAAACTATAATAATCTTTCTACTCTTAAATATTTTGGTATATTTCCTTTGGTATCTTGCGTTTTTTAAGTAGTTATAATCATAGTATAAATATAATTTTGAACCTAGCCTTTTGCATTTAACATGATATCATAAGTAGTTTTCTTGCTGCTATAAAATCTATCACCATCATATTTTAGAAACAAAAATGTTACTTTTTTATCACGTGAAGTGCATAATTCTTTCTCACTGTAGAAAATTGAGAATATAAAAGAGCTCAGGGCTTCCCTGGTGGCGCAGTGGTTGAGAGTCCGCCTGCCGATGCAGGGGATGCAGGTTCGTGCCCCGGTCCGGGAGGATCCCACATGCCGCGGAGCGGCTGGGCCTGTGGGCCGTGGCCGCTGAGCCTGCGCGTCTGGGGCCTGTGCTCCGCAGCGGGAGAGGCCGCAGCGGTGAGAGGCCTGCGTACCGCCAAAAAAAAAAGAGCTCAAAGAGGAAACTAGGGCTTCCCTGGTGGCGCAGTGGTTGCAAGTCCGCCTGCCAATGCAGGGGACACGGGTTCGTGCCCCGGTCCGGAGGATCCCACGTGCCGCGGAGCGGCTGGGCCCGTGAGCCATGACCGCTGAGCCTGCGCGTCCGGAGACT